GTAAAAATCCAAATTTTAACACATGAAACTAAAAAGTAAGTTAAATAAAGTTTAACAGAGTTAATATTATCGTAAATAAGGCATAGATTAGCTCACTAACATGACAAAGATATAAAAATTAATGTCAATTTTTAGATTTTTTTACAAAATTATATATCATTGTAAGTTTACAATATTATATATCATTATATAATTAATTTTTTTCATTTAAAGATTCATTTGTAATGTTATATGTATTTATTTATTTAATATCATATCATATCATACTCATTAATATCATATCATGATTGTAAATTACAATCTTATGTAATATTGTAATTATAATATCGTTATTTATGAATTCTTTGTTTGAGAGAAACTTTCTTCTTAAAGCTCTCCAAACTTTCCTTATTACAAAGTTATTTATATATTTTTACACATAAATGTTACAATAAAATGAGAATAAAAGTGATATTTTTATTTTTTATATTTTTTACATAATTCTTAACACATAAACTTCTCTTGCTATATTTTTTGAAGGAAAAATATTTTCTTGAGCTTTCCATATATAGGATCCATTTGATAACTTTAATATAAATTTTGTTTATACTAATTTTTTACTAAATATAAAAAAATTAACAAATTAACAAAATTTTACTATAAATCTTATTAACTTTTTATATAATATTTGTCAAACTTTCAAACAATATTTTTCTAACTAATTTTTTAATAAAAATTTTCTTAATAAAATTCACACTATAACCAATTATGCCGTTAAGGTATACCTACTATACATAGTAGAATTGTCAAACTTTCAAACAATATTTTTCTAACTAATTTTTTAATAAAAATTTTCTTAATAAAATTTTCACTATAACCAATTATGCCGTTAAGGTATACCTACTATACATAGTAGAAAAATTAGTTATTTAAATATGTTTTAATTTTTTTAATATATTATAATTATTTACATATTAATTAAAAAAATTATAAAATTTGAATACACAATCCATATTCGACCGATATGAAGTGAACAACCCTAATTATTTAAATATGTTTTGATAAATATTCTTCTTAATGCACTTGGACCTTCCCCTCCCTCAGTGACCGCAAGCCGCCGATAAAGTGCATTCCGTTCCTTCTAAGCAATGTTTTGAATCGGGTCCTTCTTAACGATTTTCAAAAAAAATAGAAATTAAAACAAAACACACACCAACCAGCGTACCCCCAACCATACTTCATCACCATTCACCAGGAGCGACGAAGATCAAACGACGTCCAAACCGAACCCCACAAAGAAGAGAACGGGAGATAGAAGACGGCACCAAATCTTAAACAAAAGCCACCAAATCCTCTTTCTCCTTCATTCCACAAAAATGTCTTCTTTATCCCTTTCCCTCCACCTCTCCCCTTCCTCCTCCCTCCGCCTCTCCTCCTCTTCCCCCTTTGTCCTCCGTACCCCTCCACTTAACCTGCGTACTCTCCGCCCCCAACCCCATAAGACCCTTTCCATCAGGTCCCAATCTGCCCCTGCTCTCTCCCAAGACGACCTCAAGAAACTAGCCGCTGACAAGGCCGTCGAGCAAGTCAAGTCTGGGATGGTCCTTGGACTCGGAACCGGCTCCACTGCCGCCTTCGTCGTCGATAAACTCGGCCAACTTCTATCCACCGGTCAACTCTCCGA